AAAAAAAAAAAAAACTTGAATGGACTAAGGTTTGCAGGTCAGCCTTGAAAAGTTCATACCAAATGTGGTCTGTAGTCATTTTTTGTCCACACCTTCCTGTGTTGACTTGTGTTATGTGAGGCACTATGCTTTTATAGCATATACACTCTTGAGTTCACTATATTTCCACAATTCTTTTGTCTTCCTAATACCAAAGTCCTGAACCTGTGTCCAGTCTTCCGTATGTCAAGTTCTTAAGCCCTGTCTTGCCGCTCCCCCCACTTTTCACCTACAAAGGTTCCTGGGCCTAGAACTAAAATATAGTTTTGAAACTTGGTGAAGCGCCAACTGCTACAACCAGCAGTATCAGTGTTTGCTTATTATTCTGTGAAATTTTATACCTTGAACAATGTAATTTAACAGAAAAAAGTCAAATGACAATTTTAATAGACTTTAAAACAGTGTACAAGTATAAAACACTGGTTTTGTATTTCAAAAGTTGGAGGAAGATATCCAGTCATTAAACAGTCTACAAAACATATGCCAGTAGATTACATAAAAGACTATGTACAATATAAAAAGCTGAAAACAGTCTTCACTGTAAAAATAATTTAAAACAAATTTTTCAATTTAAAATATCATCTATAGCACAAACACACATCATGCAAATGGAAAACTAAATATACTGCATTCTTTAGTGTAGCCAAATAAATTCAGATTGAAACATCTTTTAGGTAGGGAGGTGGCCATTCAATAAAATTTTTCTCTCTGGCAGTAATGGTCCTAGCTGTGTATTTTATGCTTAAAGAACAGCTATATTTCAAACCCTTTTAAAAAATTGTAATAAATACTAAAGCAACATAGGAATACTTTATAATTTGGGAGTAATGTGGGGTAAAGGCCCGGAAAATTGTGCAATTTTATAAAGTATGAACTTTTTTTTGAAAGGCTAAGAAGCTTCTGCAGCTGAAAAAGTTTGATCTCTAGTTTTAAGGCAGGCTAAGCTTTTAAATAAAGATGTTATAGGAACTAATTTCATTCATTAACTATTCTGCTACTGCAAGTTACATCATATTCATCTCCATAATACGAGGCTAGCAGTTTGGTGTCTATTACACCAAATCCTCCCAACAGGAGACATGTACTTACTGAGTTATAATTAACATCTTAGTACTTTGGAACCGTAATCAGGGGCCTGTTGCTCTCCTCATTAATGGAAAAGAAAAGCAGCGGTCCAAAATATTACACTCTCCCCAGATGAAGTACCATTATTATAGGTTCATAAAGGCTTTGCATATTCACATCTTGGCAGTTTAATACTTGTGGGAAAGAATCGATGCAAGCTCTACCACAGTGATAGGTATTTAAACAACAAGGGCAAATATTCTTGAAACTAAGGGTACCCAGACAGGCACTACTGTTTCTAAAGCAATTGAAACATTTCCAAAGCATTTATTTTTTTCAGGTTAGTTTTATAAAGGAGCCAATATAGACATTACTACATGTCCACAAGAAGTACAAAAGCCATCTTCATTTCACCAATACAAGATTCCTGAAACTCTTAGCACCAAGTCTTACTTTAAAAAGCAAAGACAACTGAGTGCTCTCCCATATTGTTGACTTCCTTCTACACACTGCATGTCATGTGATTTTTA